GAACCTGACCGGTCTTGGGTCACTGCTCTATTAATTTCCTCTGTCAATCCTAACTCGAACCAGATTTCCTTTGCTCGAGAGCAGGTAAATAAATAGTGCTAGATATCTCCCATCCCTATTTTGCATATGGGGCACTGAGCACTCGTTGGAATGTGTCGCGATGCTAGAACACCAAAACAGGGAAAAACACCTTGCAATACTTTCCAGACAAAATGGTTTACCTTCCCAGGTACATATAGGTGCCAAGCCGAGTTCCAGATAGGGTTAATATACATGCATCCTTGACCATCCTGTCGATTCTAGTGCTTTCCAAACTGGTGTTGGAATTCAATATGATAAGCTGATTTTACAGAGAAGGTCCCCGATCTAGTTGCACTCCATGCCACAAAGTCATCCAGCAACTCCACCTGAAGTGGTATATTCAGTATTCTATGAACATCAGCCGGGGAAAACACAGAGGTAATAAGAGGAACGTCCCACTGGCCTGTATGTGGGTCAATAAGTTCCACAACTTTACCAAGAAGTGTAGCTCCCCTGGGTGTAATAACTCTCCTGTTCTCGCTTGTTGGGATCCATGGATCCTGAAAAATGTCAATTTCTTCTCCCGTGCCAACACACCATATGCAGCCCCTTTTAAAGGTTTCGATACCATAGACAATACTCTGCCAAGTATATGATGACCCTTTCTTTGGACCTGCACTCAGAATGTCATCATTTGGATAGAATTTCGCACTGAGAACACGTGCACACAAAGAGTCTGGGTTCTGGAGCAGGCGCCAACACAGTTTTGCTAATAAAGCAAGGTTAAAACTGTGAGGGTCCCTAAACCCCATACCTCCTTTCTGCTTTGGGATACACATTTTCCACCATGCGTACCAATGCATCTTCCGCTTGTCTTCTGTATCTCCCCACCAAAATCCCGTAATTTCATCCGTAATCGCTTTGCAAATACCTTTTGGCAGTTTAAAGACAGACATAGCATATGAGGGAATTGCTTGTGCTACTGATTTCAACAAAATTTCTTTACCTTGAACAGATAAAATTTTCTCTTTCGAACCCTTTAGGCGTTGACATATTCTGTCAATCAGGTGTTGGAAACAATCACTCCGGTCCACTCCCACCATTGTTGGTAAACCTAGATATTTGTCAGATAGAGCTTCAGTCATAATGTCCAAGACTCTGCACACGTCTTCTCTGACAATCACACTAGTATTTGGGCTAAAGTAGATGCTAGATTTAGCTGTGCTGACCCTTACTCCTGAGCTACTACAGTACATGTCCAGCACTTTTTTAAGGGTATTAGCACTCTGGCTATCAGCCCTCATAAGAATTAAAGAGTCGTCCGCAAATAGTAGGTGAGAAATAGATGGTGCATTTCGACAGACAAGATTGCCTTCAATTCCCCCAATCTCCTCTTCATGGGCTAGCATGCATGATAATCCTTTGGAGCAAAGCAAAAATAAATATGGGGATAAGGGATCCCCCTGTCTTAGGCCTCTAGTGGGAAGGAACTCATCAGTCTCAATATCATTAAATCTTACTCTATTGCTTACTGAGGAGACACATTCCATGATCAGCTCCACTCACTCCACATGAAAGCCCATCTTGATCATAATCTGTTTCAGAAAACCCCATTCCACCCAGTCATAGGCTTTTAGCATGTCAAGATTAACTGCACAGTATCCATTAGCTCCATGGGTCTTCTTTTCTATAGCATGAAAGCATTCATATGCCACTAGCACATTATTTGTTATGAGCCTGCCTGGAACAAAAGCACTTTGTGTAGGTGCTATTATGTCCGGTAAGATCTTTTTTAGTCTATTAGCCATCATCTTGGAAATGATCTTATACACCACATTACATAAGCTAATGGGTCTATATTGTGTAATTACCTCCAAGCTATCAATGTTTGTTTGATTCCACCCTTCTGGCATTTTCTTGTTATTTATTGCATCAAGTACTTCATCAGTCAGTTCTTCCCCTAAAATATGCCAGAACCTTTTGAAGAATATCGCATGCAGACCATCTGGCACAGGCGCCTTCATATTGCCAATTTGGAACAGCGCCTTCCGCACCTCTTCCCTGGAAAATGGTGAGGTGAGGAGCTTGTTCCTCTCCGTAGTGATGTGTGGTTTTACTGCCTCCATCAAATCATTATCAACATCCACTAGTTCAGAGTTAAACAGGCCACCAAAATAATCACGATTAAGGGGGTTGAGGTTATCATTACCCTCAACCCACCCGTTTTCATTATTTTTCAGTTTCTTTATAAGGTTTCTCCTTCTCCTGGCAGATGCGAAATGGGTAAAATGTTTAGTGTTCCGACCTCCGCGGCGAAGCCATTTGGCTTGGCCTCGCTGAGCCCAGTAGACCTCCTCTTGGTCAAGCAAATTTTCAATGAGGACTGAGAGCTCTTTTTGCTTCATCTTCACTTCAACAGAAAAGGGAACATGCATTAGACTATCGAGATCTTGTTGAGCCTTTCTCAGCCGGTTACGAGGTCCTTTCAGTATTGTACGGTCCCATGCATGCAAGTCATTGTGAACAAGTTCCAGTTTCAATTTAGCCAAGGGTCCCAGGCCTTGTTGGCCTGCTTTCAACCAGGTTGTTCTGACAATCTCCTCAACGGTCTCCTTAGCAAGCCACCTTGCTACGAATCTGCGTTCACGTCTTGGTGTTGCCGCCGCGACCCCTGCTAGATAGTCAGAGTCCAAGCATATGGGTCGGTGATCAGACTTCCCCATCTCCAAGTTCGTCAACCCTACCAGAGGGTGTAATTCCATCCGTGCAGCATTGGAGACGGCCCGATCCAGCCTCTCTTTTAGGCCCCCTCGGAACCATGTGAAAATGTCACCGATGTAGCCAATGTCTTCTAGAGAACAGTCGGACAAAGCATCTTGGAATGCTTGTAGTCGCGATTGATGTCGTGGGACTCCTCCCTCTTTTTCAAAGGAGAAAATGATTTCATTAACGTCTCCAAGTACGGTCCATGGTAGGGTAGATTGGGCATGCAGGTCGCGTAATAGACGAAACGTGTGCTCCTTGCAATCCCAGCTCGGTTCTCCATAGATACCAGTCATCCTCCACACCTCTCCATTTGGTTCTTCCACTGTCATGTCAATAAAATCAAGAGTGGAACCTCGGAAGTAGATCCTAACCTCCTTCTTCCAGACCAAAAGCAGTCCACCCTTTCTACCATCAACACTTGGTTCGCAGATCATCTCGCCCATGGCTAGTTTTCTCTTTAACTCTTGTGCCTTAACATCATTCAAATGCATTTCGGACAGAAAAAACGCATCCGGCCTATGTCGCCTTTGGATGTCCAGCAGTGGCTGAAGCGTCATTGTACCAAGAAGGCCCCGACAGTTCCAACTTATAATTTTCATTGTGGGCGGTAATCCTCCTCGAAGGAGGTCCAAACACCATCAGAAGGTACCAACTCCACCAAGTCAAATTGCGGCATCCCCAAAAGCGTTCACCGCATCCAACCTAGGTAGCGCTAAAGCACAATACAGCCACGACAATCTCAATAATCCATGCACGGCATGCTCCTCCGATCAAACCCGGCTGAGCAGACGATTAATCCACCACGACGACCTGAGAGGCCATAACTTCGCTGTCCAGAGAGAGACCAGAGCCGGCGCCTAGCGACGATGACCTGGGACAGCAAGTGTCGGCCCCCACGCCACCGCCAAGGAGGCGGCCGGCGGCGGACCGGCAGAAACCCTAGTCGCTTGAGTAATCGCCTCTGAGGTTCACGTACCGGTCCGGTCGCGTTTGCTAGCTAATTTGACCTCTCTGTTTGCCCACGGACACGTAATTTGTCGGTCGGCCAACCGCGATCTCTATGCAAAATTCCAAAATTCAAACAACACCAAGCACACAGATCATTTAATCATTATAGCACATAACCAATTCAACGCAAAACCAAATTGACACGACAAACAAAATTCAATAATTCATACATAGGGATACACAAATGAGCCTTTCTTGCACTCATTGATTTCCTTTTGGTTGGTAAATTGCTACTTGGCATGGTCAGCCATGGGGCTAGTGTCGACCAACATGACCCCCGACTCCTCCATGATCCTCGCGAGCCTCACCTTCTCTCTCTCTCTCTCACTCAATGACCTTGTATGCCTTTACCTTCTCAAGCTCCATTTCTCCCATTTATTCTCCATCTCCATCCTCTTCCTCCAAATCTTCATCCTCTTCCGCACCCTCTTTCAGTCGAACTCCATCCTCTCGTTTGCACATCCAAGAAGAGCTTGTACTCCTTCTCCTCTTTTTTCTTCAATTTCTTCCCTTTGTTGGAAAATGTGTCCGTTGGGCGGATTTGGGGTGCGGACAAAGCTGGGAGGAAGGAGGGCGGTGGGGATTTGGACAATTTATAAGGTTTTGTGGTGGATCCGGCATGTCGAGTCAGACGTGGCGGACAGTCTTGGCGACTCAAAATCTGCCCCACTTATGGGCCAAGTTTAGGTAGGGGGACAGCACAGATACATAATCTTACTTAAAACCACACCGTCTTATGTCTAATCAGTCACATGCTTCTTTAAGGAACATCTTCAGTTTTAGGTGGTTTCTTTGGAAATCTCAAAATGACAGGCTATTTCAAATAAAGAAAGGACGATCCCTTATGCAGGCCAAGCAATTTGCAGCATGGAGAGAACAAAATGATCTTTCAAACTCTGTAGGAACAGAAGTTGGATTAGGAATATGTATCACTACTACACACCTACAGCAATACCGTATACTACAGTTACAAGTGGCCAAGTCAACTAAGAGATTGAACAGCCACTAAAGTATCTCAGACAACAGGACAAAAGAACTATGGTATCTACTCTGTATCAGGCTCTGGGCGTCACTTTTATACATGCGGGGAACAGATACTGCGTTCCCAAGGCCTGGAGCTAGTCTGTATCAGGCCCTTTGGGCGTCAATTTTATCCTTGCTTGCAACAGATATATTGCGTTAACAAGGCCTGGAACTACTCAGTATCAGGATTCAGGCCCTTTGGGCGTCACTTTTATCTTTGCAGGGAACAGATATTGCGTTCCCAAGGCTTGGAGTTCCCCCAGCGAATGCAAACTCGTCTGCATTGATACCATGACCTCAGGAAACCTCTGATATTGAGCTCTTGCAAGATCAAACCTGCAAAATGCACCCCCGTCTCGAGAAAAGCTATGTCGCATCGCATGTGATGGGCAGTTCCTGAGGAACTTCAAAGGCTCCAGTACTGGGTCTGTACCATCAGTAGTCGCCTGTGGATCGTACTTTCCACTGCAGTGCAACAATACTAGTCAGTAGTAATATACAGCACAACTTAGAAGTAATACACCTGGGAACATACACACAAGAGCTTCACTTACCAGTCGTAGTACATCAGAAGAAAGTTATTACTTCTCACAAGATTGTCCCAATTTGCTGGGCAGTCAAGACTCGTCATTACTGTGTTATACGCCTTAGGGTCAGTGCGCCTTAGAATCTCTACAGTATGATCATAGATCATAATGAAGAGAATCAGTCTGTTGATTAGAGGAACTGTAGCTGCGTGGTACTTGATCAAAAATGTGCATGCCCTGAACTTGTATCTGCGTATCAAACCAAGGAGGTGACGCAGCTCCTTGTTGATATTAGGATCCTGTCGGTAGGATGGGCTCAAATCCATGACAACCCTCTTAAGCATTTCAGCTAAACCAGTCACGCATTTGGTAACTGTTTCCGCTGTTGCTCTCACCCGATTATCTTTCAGAATCTTAGGAATGTCTTGATTTGTGACGACTGTATTGCTCTCGCTGACTGTGCTGAAGCACCAGCCTTCCTCGTAGCTATGGACAGGGGTGCGTGGAAGCTTGCTATCCATGTGCCAGAGCCATGAGTTGGTTGCGAGATCTTATGGGTTTCACCTCTAGCCTACCCCAACTTGTTTGGGACTAAAGGCTTTGTTGTTGTTTTTGTTTGTATAGATGAATGACTCTGAGGATTGCTGTCTGGGCCTCTTCAATTAGCAGTGCTTCACCAGGTGTTTGTGTATCCCCGCGAGATGGCTCAACCACGCATATATCTTTTCCAGGGGACTTGTTAGCCAGTTCTTGCATATATTCATTGAACTTTTTACATCCTCTCTCCTCCTCAAGTGCCAAGCAGTGCAGGGTCGGCTTCTTCTTCCCGCCAGCCCCCTGCTTCTTCTCCCCTCCAGCTTCCTGATTCTTCTGCCCGCCAGCCTCCTGCTTCTTCTTCCTCTTCGCTCCGGGATTACCTTTGTTTGCCATCCTGAACATATTCACAAATAAGTGGTTAAAAATGAACAACCACAAAATATGTAAAGTACTTGACTTTAAGATATTATGATTACCTGCATAAGGAACCAACAATAGGTAAGTATAATACATCTTGAAATCGCAAAATGACTTGATAATTGAAGAACGTCACTTCCCCCATTAGAGGCTCAACCTGTATTTAAGCATAACCAAATTAGAAATCACAAGAGAATGCAAAGTTGCAAGCTGCCTTGCAAGAGGTAAAACAACAGTACAAAGAAACAAAAGACACGCTGGTGAAGGAGAGAGAGGCAGCCAAAAAGGCCGCAGAGATAGCTCCAGTTATTAAAGAGGTTCCCGTTCTTCTGACTGCCACAAAATCTCTGCATTCTTGTTCTCTATTCACGAATTCACCTAATGGCAACACGTGAGCAGCAGCCGCAGGATAACTTGCGATACTCCAAGCAGTTGCAACTCATAAGAAAATACTATTACAAAGATTGGCCATGACTAGCTACCTATCTAGTATTCACAGTTACTGTCAAAGAGACGAAACCAATCAGGAACATACATGGCTACAGAACCTACTTCTAGATTATACATAATTTTGGGGGGCTATTACTCAACTATTTGACAAGGACAAGAATACCTAGTTAAGGCTCATTTGGAGATCCCTGCAGGATCCCGGCCATTCCCTGGGTGGAAAGCCCGTGAGTAAAATCAGCCCCGGGCCAGGTGGCTGGCATTTGGATGCTGGAATATACGAGGTTTTATCGGCCCGATCTCCGTGATTTCCCCGGGACAGGATCCACGTCTCACGACATCGGGACGAAATACCCTGTCTCGCTCGCTTTCGACGCCCGTCTCGAACGCTCAGGCGGCCGCCGCCTCCCTCCCCTGCAACACCATCCTCTTCTCCTCGGTCTCTGCCTGCGCCTCGTACTCATGCCTCCCGACTGCGTCATGCTCACCAACGGCGGCGGCAGACGCATCGTTAGATCTCCTCCCATTGGAGTTCTGCGTCTTGCCCACTAGATCACGCCACCAGGGAGGCTGCCGGTGGCCCCGACTGCTGCTGGTGAGGGCCGTGAAGACAGTGATGATGGCGGGGATACATGTCCAAAGAGAGCTCACTGGCAGCAAGATCAGATGGGGTATATGATGTTGCTTCAGTTCGTCACGTTCTGATTTTGCTTCAGTTTAGTATGTCCTTTCTCTGTGGGGGGGATTAGCCCCTTTGATCCAAATGACGGCGCTTTTCCACGGGGCTTCTAATTTTGGCGAAAGAAAATTTCAACCGGGGCATCTATTCCCTGGAAATATCGCTCCTAGCATCCATATGAGCCCTTAATGTCAAAGAACGTAATCACATCCAAGAACCTATCCACGTAAGGAATGATTGGGAAGAGGGGTCATATCGTACATAAACGATTCATCTTGAAACGAGTTTCAAGAGCAATCACAAACAGAGTTCAGAGCCAGCAACCACACAGAAATTAGATTTCTAACAGGAATTGAATACCGATCAAATCCAGATGGGATCTTGAAAATACCATGATCGTGCGGCGGGGAAAGGAATTATTTGCCCTCCCGATCTGATTGATCCTTGTTTTTCGCCGCCTCGCTGTAGAG